TCGGGCCTCCACTCCGCCGCTCGGTACTCCGAAGATCCACTCTTATTGTAATCTTACTCTTATTGTTCTTTCTCGCTACACATACCCTTTGGTTCTAGTCCCTCCTTATTGTCTTTTACTCTACCCTGCAGGTACTACTCGTATAGCTCCTAATAGTTAGTCTGGCGCTCCGCACTGATGCGCCGATCCGTAGATATAAATACTGCCTGTACGCTACTGTAGTTCCTCAGTTTAATTATCAACTTAAATCAACTTAGATCTCCCTTCCCAACTTAACCCTTCTCTAAGTCTTCAGGCTCAACGCCTTGAAGTACGTTCCACTCGACCTTAGGACTTGAACGTTCTCTGGTCTGCTCCTCGTCATCGGCGTTCCCGCCGCTCTGACTAGGCTGCTCCTCAGTTCCTCCCTTCTCTACTCTCGATCTCCGGGGACTAACAGCGTAACGGCGGTGTTGTTAATAACTTCACTACTGTCCCACTCGTCTTCCGCACTTAGACACCTTGTGGCTTTGGCATGGTTACACGGTGTACATGATCTTAACAGTTCCTTGGAAAAACTACCAGCAGCTGAGGCCGGGGACTGTGGTTGTTGCGAACGTTAGTTTTAGGCTGCATGTACTGCAACGGAAACCAAAAGTAAGCTTGACTTTCTATATAGATAGATATAGATAGAGTATATATTCCTCTGCCAATCAATACATCCTTCTTATGTTTATTTCTGTGAAATATGAGGAAAGTTACATTGAATCATGCTCAAAATATCAGCCACTCATGCAAAAGGACTAGAATTATGAGTGAAACCAACTGACAAGTTGCTCAAATTACCCGAAGAATATTTGAAAAGATTTGAAATGTTCTTGAAATGTTCTTGAAAGATTTTGAAATCTCAAACTGGGCCGCCAAATTTCCGAACTTTCACACATATTGCAACTATGTAATATTTTAGTACGTTTGGTATTTTCATTCAACTTTCTCGCATGTAACACCTAATTGTTGTCTATTTCAAGGGGACAGTTTTCCTGATGGGTCCGAAACAGGCATTGACCGGGATCCAAGTCATGCGTGGGAAAACATCCATTTTGGGATGGACCTCATCCTGGCAGCTGCATAGAATCGTCGTAGAACTATCCTGGAACTATCTTTCCTACCATGCACATTCATATACAACCAATCGATCATTTTCTACTTAAAAGATACATCTTCTTGGATAGTTTTGAAGGCTCAGCTAAGCCATGATGGACCAAATAATCATCCAGGGCAACACAATCTTTGATGTTCGAAAGAGACTCCCAGGTAACATCGTCGTCGACCCATTCTACCATGAACTTCAAGCCCCGCCCAATCCATTTATGGCCCAAAATCAACTGAATCGCTGTTTCAACTGCCTCATCTTCTTTGCTTACCCCATGATCCTCTTCTCCAAAGCTTGTCTGAGAATCCTTGGCATTGTTGGTCCCTGGGTCACCAGTAATTGGTACATCAAATGACTCATGAGAGTCTACAGGATGCAAGCTATGGGAGTTGGAATCAGAAGGGGGAATAGGCCGAGGTTTAGGCCTAGGATGAGCTTGTCTGAGTGGTGCAGTGGGAACAAATGAAGTGAGAGCAGCTTCAGAATCCGAGTCTGAATCTGTCGAGTTATCATTTTCAGGTGCGTGATCTGTGTGATTCAATGAGGATGTCTCTGAACTTGAGTCTTCAGACTGGTTTGCCATAGCCTGGGTCTGTCCTTGTCCCGCCCTTTTTGAATATGTCCGTGTCCACGTCCACGTCCACGACTGCGACCTCTGCCTAGTTCTCTTTGTTGCGCTGCCTTTCTTTCCCTTGCGGCTGCCTGCAAAACTTTTTTCTCCCACGCCGCTGTTTCTTTTCTTGCTTTTGCCTCGTTCTTCTCGAATGCCTCTATTTTCTTTTTCAGTTCTTTAAATTTTGGCTTGAGCAATGTCAGGACACGTTTCATCTCTTCTTTCAACAACTCTTTCATGTTTTCCTCTGCTGCCAAATGTCGACTCATTCCCGTGTTCACAGCAACATGTTTCCTCTTCTTTGCGAATGCCTTGTTGCGCAACCTCTCATTCTCGGCCTCCATTAGCTTCATGTGGGCAAAATTTGCACTCAACAGTTTCCCTGCTGCCTCAAGCTGTGTGCGCATGACTATATTTTTGGTCCAGAGATATTCTTTTGAGACAGTGCGGTGCACATGAGGGAGAGGAGGCAGAAGTACGATCCCGTGCTCATTGCTTGTGCTGGGAGTAGGAGTCGAAGAAGTAGAAGATGTCATTACAGGTTCAAGGAGTGAGGGAAGCTGTACAGGAACAGGCATAGCAGACTTTGTTGTGAAGTTTTTTGCAGGTTCATACAAGATTGAATCGATGGTGTTGCGATTGAATGGGTGTATACCAGTTTTACGGAATGCTGCTGCTATTGTAGTAGTCTTAAATGCTTTCTCTCGTGCTGTTGCATAATGTCGGAGTAGATTATACTTGTCAATAATGATGTATTTTCGGGATAACGAAGTAACTAGGGCCTGAGTATATACAGATATGTGAGTAATGTATATGAAATGTTTATTGAGGCTGACGTGCCTTCCAGCTGGATGCGAGAGGTCCAAACACTCCTACATCACAAGGCTGTAGGGCATGCGTGGTATGAGCAGGAAGACAAATTACAACGATTTTGTGCTGTTCTGCAAATCTACAGAATCGATATGTGCAATGTGAATTATGTCCGTCAAGAATGAGTAAGCAATGTTTTTTTGTGTGGTTACGAGCTGCAGTGACAGGTTCAAAGTCTTTCTCGAGCCAGAGAGAGCCAAGCTCTTGGTCAGTCCAGCCATTGGGTGAGGTCAAAATACTAACGGAAATGCAAGTGAGCGCAATCCATGACACAAAGGATGACTGAGACGTACCTTGCATTTGCTGGATTGACATCACCCCAATGAATGTCCCGCCTCTGTCCTTCAAAAATCACTGAGGGGTGGAGGGCTGACCCGTCGGCACAAACTGTTTCGATGATTGTCACTAAATCACGATTGCCAGACTCGATGGAACTGACAGATTTCTGGTTACGATCCACAAGGACAGCTGTACGCTGACCAATACCCAATTGAACTCCTTTTTCGTCCATATTGTAAATGTTTTCGGGAGGTATTTCATACTGAGCAACAGTGTCTGCGAGAACATCATAGGAGGTAGAGACTGCAGCTAGAGTAAGTGAACAAGCTCGACTCTCCTCAAGACTAGTAGTGAATTTCAATGCAAGATCTGGATGGCGGGTCCGAAAACGGCAAATCCAATTGTCGCCCATAGGTTTTCCCGCAATATCTGAGGCATATGCAGAAACCATGGGTAACAAGAGAGGCACACCACGCTGACCCTGTACTTTGATCCACTCCACAAGAAGATCTTCCTGTGCAGGTGAGAGATTCTGTTGGTGGGCATGAGCCTTAGAGCGAGACTTTCCACCATGAACACGTCGCTGGAGGGTAGCTGGATGAACCCCATAGGCTTTGGCAGCCTTACGGACAGAGAGTTCACCATTAGAAGATTCAATGGCCTGCATAGCACTTTGGATCGCTTCTTCTTTTGACTGCGGTGGAGTGGCTCCTTTAACACCCTCATCATCCGAGTCACTCGAGACGAGTTCAGGCATATCAGGGTCATCTAGTGCATTAGACATCCTGAAAGATGGAGAGTAAAATTCCGGGGCTGTTGGACCCAATACAATTATATTGGCAATTGTTAACATTTGATGACTCACATACCATCTATGGAACATTGTTCTCTTATTACAAACCACTATCTCACTATCGTGTTATTAGTCTCACCGTCATGTTATCAATCCCACCATTGTGTACTATTACTATAGGACTACCAGTAGGATACATTGTATTGTACTTCCTTTCTCTCTCGCTATGTTTAGCTGTAACATGACATCGTCTACCTTGGACTTGTATATAAACCTGTAGTATTCGTCTTGTCGAATAAGTAGTCCTCTCTACTCCTTCATCGTCTGATCTGTGTGATCAACTACAGTGCTGTGTGCACTCTATCTCTTACTGCCATTGCTGCTGAATATAACGTGATTATATTCTAACAGCAATTCTCATTGATAGGAAGTACATAATGAGGTTGCAGGTGGACAGATGCAGGTAAGTAATAATTGAAGATTTTGAGATATGAGTATTGGTACGTAGTAGATGGATAGGTGATAAGTAGCCCACAGGACGTCAAAGGACACAGTTCATAGCATGCCTGATGATGATGGCAAAGGTCAAAATTAGTAATAAATAGATACCTTGAGTGGTAGTTACGCACCAATACCATGTACTCCAGATAATGACATATATTTGGGATGTGAACTGCGATGGACCACCTGAATACTCCCAAGTCTTGTATGCCATCCCGAAGATGCAAAAAAAATGGGAAAAATCATTGCAGGCCTGATTGGTATGAAGCCATCAGTCTCGCTGCTTGATCCAAATTTGAAGGAGATCCGATGCATAGCTGGAGAGATATGGAGAATGACATTCTGCATCAGATTAAGCATACTGGACAGTCAAAGATGAGCTTCTTACACGTACTGTGCTCCGAGGCATCACACATGGCTTGAAAGAAGTGATGAACTTTATCCTCATGCCCATCGAAAAGCAAAAGGAGCAGGCGAACCGCAACACAGACCCGAATTCCTCAAAATGAAGCCTGAAATAATTAAGGATTTCACGTGATTTTGCTGACTGCGCCAAACAATTGATCCATTGTTAACTATCCATCCTTTTGATCATCTCCAAAGCAGGTTCAGAGCATTTTCTGCAGTTGCTCTACATAAATGATGTCACATTTCTAACTCTAAACAAGTATTACAGCCTGCGGATGCCAGATGATTCATTTCATGGTCTGACTCACTTCTAGGCCCCCCCTAGTAACTCCAGCTACAAAGCCATCGAAAACCAAGTCTGCAAAAGAACAAAAGGTTCGTGAATTTATTAATTTCGACCAATTATGACGCACTCATTACCCAAAGATGTCGGTATTAGGAAGAGTGAAGAAGTACCCTATTAACTGCATCTGCTCATTCTTTGCGTTGTTCAGACTGAGGATGCCCTTCACTTTGGGGCCATTGCAATTATTCCGGAACCTATCACCAATGTGGACGCACGTCCTTTTTATTTCCCATTCCAATTGTGCAACTCATATATCCTTTATTTCACAGCCCTCTACAGACAAGCTTGGCCCCATTCCTTATCTAGATTTGAGCAGTCCTGAAGATGCAGGAATGTTCGATGATATGAGGCTAAGGAAACTCAGGACCCACAAGACTGCAGTCATTGATAGAATCGACGGCTTCTATGTGCAGCGAAGCTGGACTCATGGCGAGCTCATGGATTATGTCACAAAGCTTCTCCCCATTCCTATGCGGTACCTGAGCCTGTCTGGTAGATGGGTCAATCCGTTCTATGATAGGAAGGATCCCGACAGCAATCCCGAATTTTTTGGCCCGCTCACCCTGTGCATTATTTCTAGGGCCAGGGTTTCAGGCGTTACCGAGGACCTTGCAAGCTGGCCCAATGGTGAGTATGTCTACCAGCTGTCAGTGTCTCCAAGAAGGAATACATGGCGTGATAATGTTCTGATATTTGGTATGATGGCTTTGCCCTTCTGTAGCCGTATCGAGCTTATGCATTTTCTTAGCACCGCGGGTGTCGTTAGCTGATCCTATGGTAAAATGGGCTCGGAATGAAAACCCTATTCCCGCTCCCCGCCCACCTAGTGACGACGAGAATTTTCCTTCTGCAATCACCTCAATCAATGAAGAAGGCAGCTATAGAAAATCCGGCGCCAAGGAGGCGGAACCTATTCAAGCCAAACGCAGGCGGCCCATACGCACTTACAAGGGAAAGGGAAAGGCCAGAGCTGCATCCTCTTCTTCTGCTGGAGAATTGTCGGGTTCAGAGAACAGAGGGGCAGATAGCGATGAATATCCTGGAATGAAGGAAGCCATATCAGAGAGTCTGGCAACTACTCGCTGTGAGTGATACTGTTATTGACTCAGCGGTGTTGGTCGCTCACATTCTACGTCCCAGCTCAATCTACCTTCATCCAGCAGGCTTCACAGTCTGGAAGCACCTCTCAGGCTCCAGCATTTATCTACGTCAATGATTCGGATGACAATATGAACATACAGGAGACCATCACCACTTCTCTTGAACCTACAACACCTCCGGTACATGTGCCTACCAGCCCCAGCATCATGAATTTGAGTTTTGTCAACGACACTATTGACTCAAATGCGTTCACTGCTGCATTCAATGACTTCGGCTTCTGACATAGTATGACGGATACAACGGCACTTCATATGGACAATCTTCAGTTTCACCATCGAATTTACTCTATCACGAATTTATTCTCCATTCATCTCTTGACCTAGTACGCTTCCTTAATTATTTTACCGCAGCGGTTGAATTTCTTTGCTGCTCAATATTTAATACCAATACTTATGGACCTCTACTCGCCAGCATTAATGTTCATTCATCTCAATATGTATTGGCTTTACTTCAATAATAATCGTTCTTCCTGCAACTTCTCTTCGAAGTTTGAACCTTCGTTTCGCCGCCACTACAACCGCAAACTGTAGGCAGCATGACATAATAATTGATTTCTTCTTCTGACTGTCGCGGCTGCACCTTCTCCACTATGTGGCTCAAGCAGAATTGCTCTTTTATGCAACTGACTCTCTATTTTGTTCTTTTTTTGATTCTTAACACATGTTTAGAGGTCGTATTTCGACTTTGTCTTTGTTGTTTCCAGTCTCGACTTTCAATGTCTCAATTGTACGACTTTATTTTCCTGGATTTTTCGACTTTTATTTTTGTGCAGATTGAACAGCATAACACAGAGGTAGTCTCGCTGGTTTCGAGAGAAGTCCAAATACGACGAAAAAGTCGTGGATAGTCACAGTGACAATCAGTACACTCGTCGTTCAATCAGAATTCTCGGGTCGACGGGATACTGACCCTCGGGTGTTCTCGGGGACACGACACTGGATCACATCCCGTTACGATCCTTGACGAGATGTGACTCGCATGATTATTCCCTTTGGTCTATCGGTTCCTATTACTTCCTTCCTAATGATTTGTACCAAAAACTAACAGCTGTGAAAAACTGATCATTTGACATAATTATTGCACAGTAAATTGAGCGCGGTTGTCCCCATGAAATCAACCTGAGCCTCGAAATTTCACTCTGACCACTAAATCTTTTCCGCCTGCCAAAAGGATGCATACCTATAATACAGTAAATTACACAAGATTCATATTTTTCAAAGAAACCTACATGTTGACTCTGTCGAGAGGAATTGCCGTTCCGGGCTGCCGTATATTCAATGGCTTAACTTGAAATCCATTCAGGGTGAAAACTTGATTGTACCAGGGATATCTGGATGCAGATCGCCAAAATACAAGGCCCCTTGGTGCAAGTACTCTTGAAAGCTCAATGGCTTCGTTTTTGAGTTCATTCGAGCCGGGATTATACCAATCCATATGATCCATGAGTAGCACACGAGTGAGCGATGATGAAGGTAACTCATGAAGAGCGCTGATAAAGCCCACTATTAAGATCAAAATGGGGAGATGAGAAATGTATGTACTCAAGAATTGTTTCGGTGTAGATGCGAAACGCGTTGAGACTTTCACAATCCTTGGCCTTTAACTTATCAAAACCCTCGCGACTGAGGTAGGACGGACAACATTCAGGAGTGTAATGCCCGAGGAGTGCCTACGTTATGCCCGTAAGGTTTCGACTTGTAGTGAGATTTGAGTAACGCACAAGCAGATAAAAATAGTTCTGCGTTTTTAGCAGGTATGTTGATAGAATTGGATCCAAAGTATCACAGATGTATTGGTACACGCCACCTAGGTATTTGAGTATTCGTCCAGTCGTTATAAGATCCAGACTGTACCTTCATCAAGTAACATTCTCCGTTGGTTCAACGGAACTCCCAACGCATTCCAACAAAAAATAGGATTGCGTAACAAAGCTACCACGAGAGGGTTTAACCACACCGAGCGTAGTTTTGATTGCCACATGCTGGTCTGTTCCTCCAATGATTCACAATCGCACAAACGTTCAACGTCACCGTAGACTCCCGTAAGCTTGAAGAAAAGTCTGACAAACCGTAAAGCTCTTCCACTATATCCCCAGTCATAAAAGGATGATGACGAAAATGCGGATGCATTGGCTTTCCAGAATTCATAAGCGTGAATTGAAAGGCGATCTTTGAGTTTACTGTCCAACAGATCGCGGAAGCGGGGATGATATCCGCGACCGAACAGCGCAAAAAAGTCAGAGTATTCAAGGCTTGATATTGCAGCTAATTTCAACTCCAGAAGGTGACCTTGACTGGGTATATAATTTAATGAAAAGGTACAAGCAAGCCAAAGGAGGCATCTATTCACCAAGGGTTCATATCGACGCAATGCAACTACAAATCTTGGTCAAATGAAATTTAACTACAATAGCAGCTCTGACTCACATTTCGAGGCGAGGAAGCAATTGCATAGTGGAGGACGTTATCCCCAGCAGAGGTAATTGCGAAAACTGAGTCAGAAGAAGTTATATCGAGATGCTGGATGTCAACTTCAGGATCTTCCTGAAAGGGGCTCATCAGCTCCCGGTGAGCTGTGAGATAAATTGAGGCCTACCCAAGTGAAAGTGTAGATCAGGGTTTTCATGCCCTTGTGTCGAATAGTCGCACTGTATTCCATGCGCCAAGGCTCAAGTATATGTAAGTCAGATGTGTGGGGGGGCAAATGAATTTCATACCGATTCACCAGTGAACGGTTGGTCATCTTCATCTTTTGTTTCTGCCCAACGAAGTAAAGTCTGCCATGCTTGAGCAAGACTCATGGTTAAGTGTAGGAAGAAGTAGCGTGTCAGAAATCAGGGGGGGGGGTCATGCTTCAGAGTCAATTTTCTCAGACCCCAAATCTCGGATTCTAGAATTCCAGAAGTCTGGTGATTAATCTATAAATTTAGACATGCTTACATCAGAGTAATTGAGTGGTGTGGTATTTGTTAACCAAATATGAACAAATGCTGTTGAAGAAGGCAGATGTATAACCCTGTCAGAGTGATAGTGATGCTTGTTAGTCACAAAGTGACTTCTGAACTCACTTTCAGTCTAAATTCGGCAAAGCTGAAAGTTGAAACTAATCAACTGAATTTTTTGATTAGTGTACGAAAGTAAAGATGGGGTTTGATCGAATTATTCAGGAATTAATTCAGATCTCATGCCTACCTCATCTACTAAATTTGAAGGACTTACTTGAGACCCACAAAAACAATGATGAAAGTTATCAACTAAACCTGTGTTTTCGGCTAAGGGTCCGAAAGTGGTTGAGAGCACTTCCCAGCAGTGAAAGCACCCAGAGCATGTTGCTTTCGGTGCTTTCAGCACTGGGATCTGCTGGGATCTGCTCTCAGCCCTTAGCCGAATATCTAGGTTTTGCAGATTTGAATGCTTACCAACCCTGTTGGCATTCAACTTACTTAAAGTTGAGATAGAACTTTACTTGCATTGCTCCTGTACTTGCCTATTGTGGAATGTCCAGCGGCACAATTTTACTGATTGTGGCTGCTCAATTATTGATTATATATGTTTCCTCCATGAATATCTAATTGAGGCAAATTCTAGGTGTCCTGCCTTGTGGAAAAGACCCTCGCAGTTGTTTTGCTTAAAAGCTGGATGGAAGATGGTCATGCCATTGTTGCTGCACTACTGAACTCTTGGTAGTAATTCATCAGGAGCCTTTACATTGTCTTTGACCATAACAGACCGTGTAATATGTGTACTAGGACAAAAGAACGATGGTAAACTAGTTATTCGGGAATCAGACATTGCCAGAATGATTTCGATGCTATCTGTATCAACTAATCCTGAATATCAGTGAGACTCAGAATCTAAGTCTAGTTCTTGTAGAATCGGAGGCAGGGGCTTTTCTGTGTTTTTACCGACTGAGATATGGGGTGTCAGGTCAACCATCAGAATATCCTGGACATTGGCATTAAGAGGCTCGTTTCTCTTCCAGAATATCAATACTTCAAGAAGATCCTACATCTGCAAAACCTGGATATTCGGCTAAGGGCTGAGAGCAGATCCCAGCAGATCCCAGTGCTGAAAGCACCAAAAGCAACATGCTCTGGGTGCTTTCACTGCTGGGAAGTGCTCTTGACCGCTTTCGGACCCTTAGCCGAAAATACAGGTTTTGCAGATGTATATGACACCTCAATGATGGTTTTATTACTTGAATCTATCTACTGACTCACTTTATGGCTGCCGAAAATCACGGTACCCGCAACAGGCACTATTTTCATGAGAGATTATTTGAAGCTAGAGTTTTTTGGACCTACTTAATGAGAGAATAACATTGAGCTCCATGAGTCCCTTGACAGAATCATGTTTCCTAATGAACGCCAGTAAGAAAAAGAAAAGACCAATGCTGCGAAAAATTCAAATTTAGACATCAAGCTTGTAAGTGGGGCCACTAGCATTTGCAGTACCACCTGCAGTGACAGTCACTGCATGGTATCTGCATTCCACTGCAGTGCATCCGCATGCACCTGCATCACACTTATGGCATTTATATGTATTTTGTCTAATTATGTTAAGCTATCTTGAGTTCATTTTTGCCACATGTTCAACTATTTCAGGATACGTCTATGCACATTGAGTTGATATATTGCTTGGTTTACAGATGTATGTAAATCCTATATGCTTAGTTATGTATGTCACAAGCACTTCACTGTACTCACCCATTCATATTATCTGCAAAACCTGTGTGACCATGACAGCAAGGGTACTAGTTGGACAACACTGTTAGGAGATAACTCAGTTGTCTTTGAAGCAACTAATCATTGATGTAGGTAAGTACCTTTTAGGAGATAACTACAGTTGGTTAGTATGACAAATGTACTGCTAGTATACTTGGGGCTCACTTCAGTTGTCTTTGAAGCAACTGAGGGACTCGATATTGCTGTCGGCATGATGTGTCTGCTACTGTACAGTATAAGACAATAACACCATTTATGTAACTGTCCACTGGTCCTATGTATGGAGTACTTCCCTAATAAGCACTGTCCGGCCAAAAGCACTGAAAGCAATTTCTACAAACCACTTCAGTGCTGGGAAGTGCAGTCAGTCTCTTAGACAGAAATCTAGGATGTACAGATGCATCTGCATGCTCCTACCTTTTGAATGCATTCACCTTGACTGTAACTGCACACATCTGCATTGTGACTGCATGCAACTGCACTGTAACTGCACACACCTGCACCTCATCTGCACTGTAACTGCACACATCTGTACCTTACCTGCACTGTGACTGCATTAGCCTGCACCTTACCTGTACTGTTACTGCATTCACCTGCATTGTTCCTGCACTTACTTGCAGTCTTACTATGGGCAATGAGGCTCTGTACCTTTGCATTGAAATTATTGGGAACTGAAATCTTGCATTAAATCACAAGGCTCTGAGTGTCTCTATACACTACAAGTATTTTGAATACGGCCTTTGGAGAATTATTGAGCCACCAATATTGTGAAGCTACTATCCCCCCTATAATTCTCACAAATTAAGCACTATTGGCACAGTTTATTCTGGGTCATTTGTGGATAGTTAAGATTATGAAGGGGAGGAAGTTACATTGCTGATTTTGGCCAATGGTTCTGGAACATCATATAAAAGGCATGATGGAAATATTCTTGCAATCTCATAGTATCACCAGATTTAGGTTGAAGAACCTAACCCAGAGACACAGAGCCATGTATAAACACTGGTCAAGGACTTACAAAAACAACTTAAACTAAAGGAGATACTTGATATAAGAAATACTTTGATTGGAAAATTCTAGAGGACAGTATGTGTATTGTTATACATTCATTTTTTGCTTTTTGGAGTTCTCATTGGCCAAATTGTCATCATTTATCCACCGCTTTCAAAATCCACCCAAATTATTGATGGTGGAATTTGGAATTATACTAGCTTTGTGAACACCAGTTGGTATCATATTGTAGTACAAGAGGATATTACTTACAAAGCTGAAATTAATGATACAAGATACAGAAAGCCTGCATTGAGAATCAATGTCAAGAAACCTGGCAGCGGAATTGACAGAATAATGAGATCACTATCCAATTTCAATCAAATATTCACATATCCATTCAGCCCCTACAGGCCATTATACTCCCTGTTATTGTCATACAAAGCATTTATAGAATGGGATATATTTTGTACAGTGGAGGATCATCTATTTACATATATATTTGAGTAACTTGAGTGCTACTGCATGTCACTGCATATGTCACTGCAGGACTACTGCACATGTCACTGCATATGGTACTGCAAATGTTCTGTGCCCATCAAGCTTGTAAGTGGGGCCACTAGCATTTGCAGTACCACCTGCAGTGACAGTCACTGCATGGTATCTGCATTCCACTGCAGTGCATCCGCATGCACCTGCATCACACTTATGGCATTTATATGTATTTTGTCTAATTATGTTAAGCTATCTTGAGTTCATTTTTGCCACATGTTCAACTATTTCAGGATACGTCTATGCACATTGAGTTGATATATTGCTTGGTTTACAGATGTATGTAAATCCTATATGCTTAGTTATGTATGTCACAAGCACTTCACTGTACTCACCCATTCATATTATCTGCAAAACCTGTGTGACCATGACAGCAAGGGTACTAGTTGGACAACACTGTTAGGAGATAACTCAGTTGTCTTTGAAGCAACTAATCATTGATGTAGGTAAGTACCTTTTAGGAGATAACTACAGTTGGTTAGTATGACAAATGTACTGCTAGTATACTTGGGGCTCACTTCAGTTGTCTTTGAAGCAACTGAGGGAGCCGATATTGCTGTCGGCATGATGTGTCTGCTACTGTACAGTATAAGACAATAACACCATTTATGTAACTGTCCGCTGGTCCTATGTACGGAGTACTTCCCTAACAAGCACTGTCCGGCCAACAGCACTGAAAGCAATTTCTAGAAACCACTTCAGTGCTGGGAAGTGCAGTCAGTCTCTTAGACAGAAATCTAGGATGTACAGATGCATCTGCATGCTCCTACCTTTTGAATGCATTTGCCTGGACTGTAACTGCACACATCTGCATTGTGACTGCATGCAACTGCACTGTAACTGCACACACCTGCACCTCATCTGCACTGTAACTGCACACACCTGCACCTCATCTGCACTGTAACTGCACACATCTGCACCTTACCTGCACTGTTACTGCATTCACCTGCATTATTCCTGCACTTACTTGCAGTTTCACTATGAGCAATGAGGCTCTGTACTTTTGCATTGAAATTATTGCGGACTGAAGTCTTGCATTCAATCACAAGGCTCTGAGTGTCTATATACACTGCAAGTATTTTGAATACGGCCTTTGGAAAATTATTGAGCCACCAATATTGTGAAGCTACTATCCCCCCTATAATTCTCACAAATTAAGCACTATTGGCACAGTTTATTCTAGGTCATTTGTGGATAGTTAAGATTATGAAGGGGAGGAAGTTACATTGCTGATTTTGGCCAATGGTTCTGGAACATCATATAAAAGGCATGATGGAAATATTCTTGCAATCTCATGGTATCACCAGATTTAGGTTGAAGAACCTAACCCAGAGACACAGAGCCATGTATAAACACTGGTCAAGGACTTACAAAAACAACTTAAACTAAAGGAGATACTTGATATAAGAAATACTTTGATTGGAAAATTCTAGAGGACAGTATGTGTATTGTTATACATTCATTTTTTGCTTTTTGGAGTTCTCATTGGCCAAATTGTCATCATTTATCCACCGCTTTCAAAATCCACCCAAATTATTGATGGTGGAATTTGGAATTATACCAGCTTTGTGAACACCAGCTGGTATCATATTGTAGTACAAGAGGATATTACTTACAAAGCTGAAATTAATGATACAAGATACAGAAAGCCTGCATTGAGAATCAATGCCAAGAAACCTGGCAGCGGAATTGACAGAATAATGAGATCACTATCCAATTTCAATCAAATATTCACATATCCATTCAGCCCCTACAGGCCATTATACTCCCTGTTATTGTCATACAAAGCATTTATAGAATGGGATATATTTTGTACAGTGGAGGATCATCTATTTACATATATATTTGAGTAACTGTAGTGCTACTGCATGTCACTGCATATGTCACTGCAGGACTACTGCACATGTCACTGCATATGGTACTGCAAAATGTTCTGTGCCCGATGTTAGTTGGCTATGCAAAACGCAATTTTCGCCTCTTGCGCATTGAAAATTTATGGGGGCATGCCTGACTATTGAACCAGGAGAATCAGGATCATTATTTGTTGCCAAAGGAGTGACTTACTCCCTAAAATAGGACATTAACAAGATTCCATCCCCTTCTTTAGCATTCAATACATCTCCCTGCTCAGAGACACATATTCCAACAACAGGAGTTCTCCAATATACATCATCTTCAGTTCTATCACAATGTCCACTACCATCACAAACTGGTATGTGCAATGGCAGCCCCCAATCCCCCCAAGCAAATATATGCATTCTGGAGTTAAATTCTGTAGAAGAGCTAGTGATGCTGAGAAAATCTTGGATGATTGTGGGATGAAGGCCACTGTACTGGCTTCTGAGCAATTTATCTACATCATCGATCCCTGGCTTTCCGTCTGCATCTATAGTGATTTTGGGTATTTCCATGTACTGTGCTCGTGCATTGTCCGGCATGAGAACAATTGCAATGACATTTTTTAGCATAGTCTGAAGGATGAATGCGTCAATTCAGAGATAGATCGGATGAGGGGAACTTGAAGAACCATTTTGTCCGGGCTTCGAAAAGACCATTTCGGCTGCTCCATTTTGAACCTTTATACAGAGCATCAGATTAATGCACGCCGCTTGATATTCAATCATTTTCTCAAAGCAATGGCCGGGAGGGCCATTGCGATGCTTCCAAGATTGCAACACATCCCTTACACCGCAAATAAGCTCAAATTATAGTATATTCTATGTACCGCAAACCTGACGGGCACAGAACTTTTGCCGTAACCCGTGCGGCACCAGTCCCACGCAGTTCCGCGCAGTTCCGCGCAACTTTATGCAGTTCCGTGCAATCTGTAAATATACAACATTGTGTACAAAATCCTGCTACATAGTCATATTGCTTCTCAACTAATTCCAGACAATGATATTGTACAATGGAGCTCTACAGGTCCAATTTAATTTTCCTATCCCGAAATTTTATCTAATACTTGAGTTTGTTCAGTAGCCTTCACTGGATTACTAACTAAACTATCTATTCTGGTGTCTTACTAACAATGATTCAACAATTGAGAACAAAAATATGATTGAGCAGATATTCTGAAGCTTATCTGCTTCATAATCTTCAGATGTGAGTGATTGGTATTTGTGAGATATTCTATGTACCCAAATAGCAACAATCACATTAATAGCTGGAGGGAGATTGTCTATTTAATGAGATTCTTATTTCTCTGATTGTTAGTAAAAGCTGGGTGCAGAAGTTATATGCAGATCCGCGCAAGTTACATGCAGGATACATGCAAGTTATATGCAGGTCCGTGCAAGTCAAGTGCAGATCCGCACAAGTTAGGTGCAGATCCGCGCATGTCAGGTGCAGATCCGCACAAGTTACATGCAGATCCGTGCAGATTGAAGCACAGAACTTTTGCAGTAACAGTTTCCACAAAGTAACTGCCACTCTTCACTGCAGTTCTGTCTACATTAAATGTATCTCAGTTGCCTGTCTGACTGTTCTAAGCTTAATTCTTGCTCAATTGTTTTATGCTCTCTTCCTGTGTGTCAAGTTCAGATATTAGTCCTTAGTTATGTACACAAGTAAGAAACCGAGTCCCCTAATCAATATACATGTAATACCCCCACCATAGAATGAATTTCATGTCTATAACACCTGCATGAAAATGGCAATACACTGAATGTACTTGATGATATTCTTGGAGGCTCATCCATTCACCATTGCTCAGCACATGTTTGCATGTATACATTGTAGCTGCATGCTTCTGCATTGTAAATGTATACATATGGTGCAACTGCATGTGTTGTTATCCTTACTTAAATTGATCCTGCATTGTTACTACACTTATCTCTATACTTTGTACACTTGCCAGAGATGTTAATTTAATCTGCAAATTGATCATGAGACCATTAAGAAGCCATTGAACTAGTGATCCAGTTCAATACAATTGCAAGGAACTACAAGCTTACTTCTCAACACTGTTGTGAAGCCCTTTTGAGTAGAGAAATCAAGATGTGCTCCCACCAGACTAAAAGGGTGGTATAATCTTCATCATATGAGCCAATCAATGTCATGCTACCCTCAGATACCATTGAAACTTCCAACAAAAAATTGAATAACAGTAATGTAGTGCCATTGCAGGTAGAGTAAAATTTGCCAGTCTATTGTTTGACCCAACAGTCTCAATGAAGAGACCTCTTTCACCTCCCAATATCACACTGGCACAGTGTTGTCAAGGCCTGTAGTCATTGCCCATTATGTCTAATAACTGAGGATCAAGCATTTGTTGTCATTTATAGATAATTGAAAGGTTGGAAGGATTCATTCAACATACCTAAACAATCACTGTGCTCCCATTGCTGAGACTAGGTAAAATGGCCTGCTCATCAAAAGTATAAGATGGTAAGAGTAAAGTAGATAAAAGTGCAATGCTTCTAGAGTTGGTTTTGCATACAATTTATGATATTGACTAGGACTCAATGATTTGTTCAAATGGAATCAGTATCAGTAAACTCTTCAAAAAGTATTTATTGAAGTTATACTTTGCTGGGTAAGTGATCCGTGCAAGTTCCGCGCAAGTTACACACATGTTCCGTGCAAAGGTCCGTGCATGGTTACGGCAAATGCTAATGGCCCCAAACCTGACCATTTCGACTGAGAATTTTGCACCGGTCCAGCGTATACTTTGCCGGGAAATCGACTTTGAATTCATTCTAAGACAATCTTAACAATATCCCAGCACACTCCTCCATAGCAATTTATCCTACACAAGTTTGACAACTTGGAACATGCAATGTATGAATGCACTTATTGAACCCTTCACGGTTCATCTGATATTGAAAATCCTGCCCCGACCCGGCCAGGCTCAATCCGGTCAGGCTCGTAGGGCCCAAGGGCTCGGAGCAGGAGCCGGCACATCACTACCAGTGAGTTTGAGATGGGTTTTTCAGGTAACCCAGACCCATTAGCTTATTGGTGGATGTTCTTGCAGATAGGGAATGGACTCTACCAATGATTTATTCATCAAGCATCTATTCACAGATATCGGACTGCTTCTATGATTTGACATACTCTAAAGCTAAAGGGAGTGAAGAACATGTTCAGTGAGTTGAAACAATGAACAACATGCGTGCCCAAACCTCCAGACTCGTATGCCTTCAATGAACATATTTTTTGTCCTGGTACCACCTGCCATGCATCTGCAAAACATGTATACTACTCGCCAGAGCAAGGATACTGGCTGGAGAGTGCTCTCCAGCGACAAAAGCACCCAACTAGCAAAAATCAAAGCCTGCTCTGGGTGCTTTCGCTGCTGGGAAGTGCTCTGAACTGCTCTGAACTGCTTTCGGCTAAATGCCATGTGTGATGATATGAGACACATTGAAAAAATCACTGTCAAGTGATCCTAAGAAAATCCCCATTTACTCAGTTATATCAATTGAAGTAAATTTTTAAAGTGGATAGTTTTTTGTGGTCACTGAGGTAGTTTACAAGTCCAAAGGAGCTTAGGAAGGATATTCTATTGCACTAAGTCAAAGAATCCATAGAATGTATCAAGATGAGGTGAGCCAAAGGCCATACTGGGCAAACATCCTACATCTCTGCACCACTCATGACCATGGTGTAAGAAACGGCTCCAAACAAATGGTGGGAGATACTCATCATCCGGGTCTAAAACAAATCCAGGACTTAGAACCCGATGTGCCAATTGGAGAAATAGCCCCAAGCTGCGGTTTCCATAAGTCAACTCCACGGTAGTTAGAGAGGAACCTGCATTGGACAGCCAATACTGTACAAAAGATGACTCTAGTCTTTGGATTGGTGGCCAAATCATATACTGAGCAGTTTGTACAGTGAAAGTAGTGATGTGTGGGATTTGTGCAAAGAATTTTGGCCAACCAGGATCCAGCCATGGGGCATTATCAAGAAGCCCTGCCAGACGAGACAGATCCATTGGCTTGCCATCATACAGCATACGAAAAACCAAGATCTCCACATTACGAGGGAGGTATGAGCCGACAAAGTCTGTGACAGGATCAATGAAATGCCGAACTGTAAATAAGAAGGTTAACACTAGAGTTTTAACCAATGGGGTATGTGCCAATATACCGGCCATGATAGGTTTAGATGCCTGTTCATGGGCCGGAAACAAAAACTCCATGTGTACCAGAGTATGAGTGAATGGTGGGGTCAATTTGTTGGGCGTGTTCCACATTTTTTGTGCAAGCGAGGCCTGGCGGGGAGTACGAAGTTTCAGGCAACGGTATACCAAAGCTGGTAGGATATGACAAAAGGTCCAACAGGTGGTGAAAAGTTGAACAAGTTCCCATTGGTCTGCATCTGGATGAGTGTGATTATATTTGTCCACACAGTTTTAATTACCTGAAGATGATGACAATGCAATACGTGCCTTCAAAATCTCTCTGACTATGTCTTCAGGTACTGCAGAGACAGTGAGATTATAATCCTAGGTACATAGGATATACTCACTATGGATAACGCGTTGAGATAGGCGGCCTATGATAATTATTGTGACAGTGGATATACAAGATTTGTAGATTGGAGAACAGACTACTATGGAAGCCTTGCGAGGTATATTTCACACCTGATATACAGACTGTGAATTGAATTGAACCAAATTAGTGTACTCCAGTGATTTAATCAAGTGGCCCGAGATCAACACGAGGTAATGCCTTCCCAGAGTACAATAAGTCTCCCTCGTTTCATTGTTGAATCACTGTAATCACATATTGTGAGGGAATTAAACAAAATCTTACAGTTGCAGTACAATCCAACGCAATGCTGGGGACCTGAACTCACTAACAACCAGCGGCATACACGGTCTAAAATGTCTCTGAATGGTACACAAGTACTCTCATATCGGATCAATGAATGATTAGAAAGAAGGGTAAAGGCTGATATTTCCACATCGGGGCAAAATGGCAAAACCAGTAACAATAAACAAGCCACTGAATTCATTTGGATCAAAGTCTAACTTCCAGAAGTGCTGGGAGTATTGCTATACGATTGCGAGCCGCGAAGGACTTTGAATCCAAACGGATAGGAGGTAGTGAGATATATCAAGAATCAGTTTGGAGAATTTCATCATGATGCATAGGTTTCTTATTTGCGAGTGGCTTTTCCCGAGGTCTCCGACAATGAGGCAAGTCGGTAGTACAGTCATAACTGCCGTCAGATGCTATGATTTATCGATTAATATTCTGAGCTTCGAGACTCGGGAAAGGAATGAATCATGAGACGGAACATATTTAAGTCTTGCTTTAACTTTAACTTTTCTTACTTCTGAATATTCTAGGTGGGGAGGCTTTTAAGATGTAGCATTCCCTATGTATGCTTCCTTTCTGTTCTAGTGTTTCATAAATGGAAACTTGATGTTGCAGGCTTCAGAAGACCATCGAGCACGTATGATGTTGTTTTCCAGCTACAACGAATGATTTTGAAAGATGGTCTTTCCATATATGACTCGAAAACGGAAGGGAAAATTAAATCTCGATGGCTGGCACTGAGTATCTAAAGGAATGTCAAGGTTTCTGGTTGCGTTAAAGTAAGTCACATTAAGTGCGGGCAACAGCTTCAAAATATATGTAGTTCACAGCGTCAACAGTTTGCGGCGGAAAGTTCTGTCAACCATTCAATCGATGATGCACCCTGATTCCTAGTTGCGAAAGAAATTTTTTCATGTACCTAGAGGATCGCAAAAGTGGGAGTTCAATCCACTCTAATGGCGGGTGTGGCCAGCGGACTTGGTAGACCTAGACAAGCATTTAATACTTGCCGTGGATATGATGGGAAGAGTA